GCAAAGTTACAACTTTTCAGGGGAGTAGTATCTTCAGATTGTGCTAAGTAATGCTTGTTGAACTGTTTTTGGACTGCTCAATGGACATAATGCGAGTTCAAGACTCTTGTGTGGTGCTGGGACCAGCAAATCGGCTGATTGTCAGTCCCAGCCCCAGCACTGCACTGGAACCAATTCAAGACTGCCAGTGGTAGAGACCCGCCTCACTCCACAGATCCAGCAGCCCAGGTGCACCTCCAGCAACAGGAACACACCCTCTCCCAGGTTCAGCTCTCCACGCCTCTCCTCTGCCTACTGCCGGTGGCAGAGACCCAGCTTGCCCCAGCCTCCCAGGGGCAGAGACTCCTGAGCTGGGTAGTGCTGGAGTGGACACACAGCATGGAAGGCACGGGGGACTCTGGGCATGTGGGTTGCATGTCCTCACGGTCAGACACAGGAGCTACAACACCCAGTGCCTAAGTCAGTGTCTGGGGGTAGAGGCACAGCAAGCTCCAGCCCTGTCTAGAGCAGGTTGAGATCATTATTAAGCATTACCAGGCAACTGCTCAGAACACATTCTAGCTTTTAATATGGTGCAGTAAGACTTACTACAATCTCAGATAAAACACATGCTAAGTGTCCCATGTGACAAGGCCCATGAAATTGTTAAAAGCCCTTAAGTATCCTAAATATACCAAGTCAGGGATCAGCAACCTTTTAGCTAATGGCAGTCCAAATTAATGCACCTCAGTTTCCCTCCCACCACTGAATGCTGCCATCAGCTGCCACCAATTCCCTCACCACCAAATTGCTATTGCCAGCCCTGCTATGCGGACCAGATTCTGCCTGTGGACCATAGCTGCTGACTCCTGAAAATGATCACACTGTGCTTAGCAGCCATTGCAAAGGCAAACAAAAGTGCCACCAGTAAAATTCAGCGAATTGGGTCTCAATCCTTTGAACAGTGCCCTCTCTGCCTTTGCGTGGAGTCCCAGGAAGTTCTGCATGGATATGGGAATCCACCCAGAACAGAATCAATTCTGTTACAAGTTCTTTTCAGAGAGGGTCAACGTGAAATAGATGGTAAAGAAGAGAAGCTGTAACCTTGGAGCAAAAAAAGAATTAACCAAGCACTTTAAAGAATTATGCAAATGAAAAAGGAATGGTTATATGACTTTCTGAAAGCATGCAGCTTTCTAATCTTATTGGCTTATTCTGTCTCATTCAATTATATCCAACCCAGTGCCTAATTCTATAGTTACATATTACCGCAATTATCTTATTATTTTAAACAGTAAGGGCATGTCCAGGTGAGCACGCACATTGGGTCTGCACTGCTGCAGACCCATCGCTGTGCTGCAAACCACCCCCACAAACCACACGTGCTGCACTTCCAAGCATTCACTGCGCTAATTTGCAGCATGGTGGGCGGTGGGGTTTTGACACCAGGAGATCACCCAAAACTGGAGCCTGGACAGCTAGAGCCATGCTCCAACTGCCAGCCAGGCTCTGTGCACCTGGATCACCCAGAAGGCCCCCAGGACCCCAGGTAAGGCTGCTGGGGCCAGCCCAGGTGCTGACCTCAGCCTCCCCTAACCCACCCGGGGCAACTTGCCATGTGCCAGAGCATGTGAGCACAGGCATTCCCAGGGGGCAAGTAGCAGAGACACAACTATATGCTGCTGCTATTTGTTCCTGGGGAAAACACACACGTGCACTCATCTGGACACACCCTAAGAGTATATATGGAAGCAAGATTATGCATGGAAGCATTTATTTGCAATACCTCCATTACTGATTAAGTCCATTAAGGAATGAAACAGCCATAGGAAGCAGCTACCCAAGCTCATAACAAAAAGTAATTATTAATTGTTAAAGGAAGAGGATAGAAGTGATAGACCACAATGGTAAGTCTTATGTTTAAGCCAGAGTTAAGGGGAACCAGAGTTTCATCCTGGCGCTGTCAGATTTCTGATGCATTCAACTCACTGAAATTGCAATGTTTCAGAATCTGCAGCTATAAAATGGATGCAATTGTTACTCACTGCTAGTTGATATTGTTTGATGTTGAGCTTTAAGGACTAATTTCTCTAAGAAATTTTCACAAAGTCACGTAGCAGAGGTTTCTCTTTGCACAATCAGCCAGCCTTTTGTTGGCTGCATTTGGAAATGGTTCTACCACTTAACCAGCAGAGGTCACTGCGTTCAACACATCTGCCTCAGAGGCTCAAGGAATCTGAGAAGGCCTCGGAGGCAGCAGAGACCCTATACATTCTTCCAGTCCTGTCCAAGCCCGTAGGTGAACTTGAACTCGCCTGTTTAAGTTCTACATCTATGAATAGAATACTTCATATAGCATTTCTGTAACAAAGGAATGGTGTACAGTGCCTCTGCTGTCAAAACCAGAAAATAAAAATCTACCTGAAAATATTTTTTAAAGCTATTAAATGTCCTTCCAATTACAGCTTCCTTACAACAGTGTTTGAGACTAGGAGTGAATAGTCTTAGATTACAATGTAAAAGGGTTATAGTTTCAGCACACAAACTGCTTAATCATGCTGATCAGCAATGTTACAGACATGTACAAGGTATCCATGCATCTCTAGTCTTTACATTTTGAACACATGGGACAAGGAGAATCCTGTTACAGATCCCTGTTCAGTGCCTAGCACAAGAATGCCTGGGTCCACACGTGGGCTCTTCTTATGGCCGAGACAGTATGTAATAATAGAATCAAATGTTCTTTCCTTCTTTCAGTACCCCATCCTGTCTTAACTACTGACAGCTGTGACTGAAATTAGCTTTGCTTTATGAGCTTCATCTTTAAAATCATCCTCCAAAAATTGCCATCTTTCCCTAAAAGGGCCCATCTCCCTGGAATGTTATATCCAAGCTCCCTTACTCCAGGCTGGATTTTTCTGCAGAGAAACCAGAAAAGGAGTTTTAAAGTTGCAATGTTTCTAGTGTTTTATCATCACTGGCTTTCTGAAGCATATGGTACTTCTGGCTCAGAGCTACCTCATTTACTTGTTCCACAAACCTTCATTTTTATTTTGTTGCCCTTGCTGAGCAGCAGCTTTTGCTTTTCTTGGGAAAGTTACAAAGATAAAGAACCTATGATCTGATGCATCTCTCAGACTAAGAGAGGGAGGGAGCAATTCATAGAATCATAGAAAACTAGGACCAGAAGGGATCCCAGAAGTCAAAGTCCAACCTCCGCCCAAGGCTATTCAAATCATCCTAGACAAGTGTTCGTCTGACCTGTTCTTAAAAACAGTTTGTATGGCATCTGGTGGAGGGGCTTTATTCTGCCGCTTGCCCTGGCACAGAGCAAGTGGTGGCAGCAGCAGTGCTCGGAGTGGGAGACCTTGCTTTGGTGCCCTGGGTGTAGAGGTGGGAATAACCCCACTCCCTGCCCCCCCACCTAAAAGGGCCCTGCTGGCCACAGTCTGGCCCCACCTGCACTCAGCCGCTGGAGCAGCGAGGGGGGAGCAACCATGATGGGACATCAAGCCTGTCAGTTTTCCCAAGCTTGAGCCCCTTCCTGACGGGTTGGGGGGGTGGCAGCAGCGTGGCATGCTGTGCGGCGAGGAAGGCTGTACAGAGCACGGCAGCACTGGCGGGGGCTCTGGTCCTCTCCAAGCCCTGGTGCTACTGCGCACAGCCTGCCACAGCCCTACCCACCCCACAACACAGGGCCCCCCGAGAAGGGGCTCATGCTCCCCGACACTATGACAGGGGCTGCTGCCCCTATCAAAAGCCTTGTTCCCTTGCTGCTACAGCCGCCAGGCGGGGGCGTAGCTAGATGCCAGCCGGCAGGGCCCTGAGGCAGGGGTTACTTCTGCTCCCTCTGGCATCCAGGGTTTTATTCTACTGCTTGCCCCAAGCAGGGAGTGAGCAGCGGCAGTCAAGGTGGGTAGACCTGGCTGCGGTCCCCAGGGGACAGTGGAGAAAATAACCCCTTTCCCTGCCCGCTCTGCCTCAGGAGCCATGGTGGCCCGCTGCTGCATCACTGAGGGGGGAGCACTCAGCAGACCTGACTTGGGTCCCTTTCAGTGGGATGGGGCGGGGTGGGAGGTGGGAATTAAACCCCTCTGTGGCCAGTTCAGCCAAGGCTACTGCCCAGCCTGGCCACCCCCACCCACACATCTTCCCTGCAGCCAAGAGTGCGCTGTAGTACCCCCCGGCTCCTGGCCTGAGCAACTGCAGGCATGGTGTCGGCATTTCCTCAGTCCACAAGGAATATCGGTGCTATTAAAAACAACAAAAAAAACCCAATGAAAGAAAAATAAAATGGTTCAACCTAGGCAGGTTAGACTAACCTGCAAAGATGGAATCAATTCAGGCTGTTTTTCTGCATGTCTGTCCCTAGCCAAAGAAAAGGTTTAAAGTGAAGGTAAACTGGGGCAAGACCTCTCTCAACTTGGTTCTTGAACTCAGGATCTCACTCCTTTTCTCTCATTTTGTGGTTTGCAGACTGGCTTGTTGGCCGTCTCTGCACTTTGGAAATCTTTAGACATAGAAAGGTTCTTTGGTACTTACAAGTAGGCAAGCACATTACCTCTACACGAATCCACTGGTTTAGAGTCCTTGCTGGAGGGTATATTCCTTCTGACTCATGTGCCCACCAGCCTTCTTTTACAAGGTCACAAAGTTGTACCCAAGTGACATGAGTGTTTTCTCTTAGTTCTGTATGCAAAAAGAAAACTTCTAACAAGTGGGGATGGCCAGCACTGACTCACATAATTAGTGATACATTACAACCGATGGCAGCACCAAGTACTGAGTGACAAGTTCTAGGCAAAGTCTTACCTGCCCAGGATCACCTTGCTTTAGAGAGATACTCCCAGATAGAGATTCAATTCAAACAAAGCACCAGCTGTTTGGCCTCCTGAGAAATGCAGAATGGGCTACATAATAGGACTCCATCCAGGACACATCAAAGAACTTATCCATCCCAGTTCCATTATATTCTTGGAGTCCTGGGTCTTATTTACAGTAAGGCTACTCCATGTTCAGTGATATTCTTTTATTTATGGATTCATTTCCCTGCAGAATGCAGGTGTATAATTCATATTTGTTTGCTGAAATGGTAAGTTTCTGAAAGAGCTTCCCATGAACACCACTATTCCTCAAAGGTGTTGAAAAATGAAAATCAGAATTCTAGGAGCACGTGCATTTAAATATAGCCCAACAAGACAACAAGTTCTTCCTTTTAAGTATATTACAGGTCAGTGATAATGCACAGGTTTCATAGGAACTGGCCTTAAAATTTATTCACCTCATAGACATATACATTCAAAGGTTTATCACAAGGAAATTAAGGCATAGAAAAATGAATATTTACATATTTGCAAATCTCATACGATACACAAAGACAGTGTTATGTTTTATTATATTTGATTACATGTTACTTTTGCAGTTTAAGGGATTTGAGATTAATAATATTCATTATAAGGGCCTAAACAAAATGCTACCAAAATGATATATTTGAATTCACTGCTCCCTGCAACACAGCAAGTCTAAGTGTGAGTGAATGGCCTTTTATTGCAAAGTCATATTTTTCTACAGGGGGCAGAATTAATTTGATTAACCTCTGAAGGGGGAAAAAGCTAAATGATATCTGGGCAATCCTCTCTCTTCTAAGGTTGGCTCTCTGCACTCACCATAGAACCACTCTGACTAGTTTTTACAGGCACTTGATTGGCTGAACGTTCACAGTCAGAGAAGAAAATCCAGAGAATACCCATACAGGAAAAGAAAAGCGTTTAGCTCATTAAAATCACAATCCAATGCTTGTAGCACTGTAGGTTTTCCAGGGTAGTGTTAACTTATATTTATAAACACGGCAGAGATAAATATAATTACAGATAAGTCAGTTCAAAAGCATCAAAGCAGCAATCTGAAGCTAGGAATTGTGGCTCCAAACATCTCTCTCAAGGAGAATTCACCAGAGGTAATACTCTGGTAAATTAAAAAAACCCCCATATTTAATTCATTTTTTTATAAATAGAAGACTTACACGTTGTAACCATCTTGTTCAATGTATATAATTTAAATAAGCAAAAGTTAGTGTCAGAGATTAAAGCCGGTGTGCAGAAAGTCAACAAGAAGAAAGACCATTCCCCAGTCTGGAATCAGAAGCCTTGCCATATAAACCTGGATTAGTTCTGTTTCAGGTTCAGAAAGATTAAACTTGTTTCCAAGGTCATAATTACAGAACTTTTACGATTTGTGAAATGCAGGACATTTAATAACATGCACTAGAAAAAGTCAATGATGCTAAAGTGATTCTATTAACACCTTGTCTGTAAGACACTTCTACACAAAAACTTGGCAAGAAGAACTACAAGCACCTTGTATTGATAGGGATTTTTTAAATTCCACATTTTGTTCTTAGCTGACAGAAAATGAATTAATATATAAACCAGTGAGAGACACATGATCTCAAAGTTACTGGATGCCAAACCAAGTCACCAATTTAAAAAAAAAAATGGCAGAGAATAAATTTCAGATTCCCAGAAGGTGCAATGAGAACAATGCATTTTACACATACAGAATCTGAGACCTTGATAATTTAGTCCAAGCGTTTTAATAGAATTTTATAAATTATTCATTAGCGATTCAAATATTAAGCCCATCTTTCTTGTTCCTTCCTTCTGTAGGGGCCTTCTGAGGAGAATCTGGGGTACGCTCCAGAGTTTTCTCCACTTCAGTTCACATGTTCTCTCTCTCTTTTCCCATGCACTCAGGAAGAAAAAAAGGTGGCATCACTTTCCCTGCTGAGAACTAGTTAACAGAACTTTCCTTAGAGTAAAATCAATACTATTCCACAACTGTCCGGAGTGGCTAACACTGAGCATTATAGAGAACTGAGATGAGATCCAAGATAAGCAGTCCCTTGGGGAGGCACTTGTGGTACAGCCTGGGAGTCAGATACAGTGATCAGAGGATGTTTTTTCGCAAAGTCTGACTTAGAAAGGGCCACCTCTGATTTCCTGTGGCCACACAAAATCCAATTTTTGCCAGAAATATTCTAGTTACTTATTTACAAATTAATTATAAATTACTACAAAATCTCAGTCAAGCACCAATATCAACTCAAAGAGTGAATGTCTGAGTCAGACAGGTAGTATTCCTGAGCACAATTAGCTTGTGCTTTACTTTCAGAAGTTCCTCATTCCTATTGGTTTTGTTCACAACACTGCTGTGGCCATGTCCATCCTCCACCTTCACATCCACATGCCTGGGAAAGTAGTAGCAGCAGTTCTACAAAAGGCACGAATCTTGCAAACACTTCTCACAGCATAGCCAAGCTGCCCTTTGGAGAAAGGCCCAACAAAGTCCAGTGATCAGGATTGGAAAATTTTACCAAAGAGAACGTTAGATGAAGTCTGTATGCAATCCGTACTCTGTGGGACAAGTGGTTGAAACAGATTCAGTCTCCATGTGTGCAAAGAACAAACCCAGTCAAGCCCAATAGCGTGGCTATTCTGTTCACTTTATAGGCTAGTAGGAACTACCATTCCTCTAAGAGACCATCTTTCCACAGTGCCTTTTACCTCAGTCAGTGAATTATACAGGTTGTGTCACCTTGGTCCAGAGTAGCCATAAGGACATCCGAGAGTGAGGCTGTCATGGCTGGGTAAGACATGGGTGGAGTAGTACTCAATCAAACTTCCAAGGTTCAGAAACATGGTGTCTGAGTCCAGGTAAAACTTTGTATCCTGTTAAAGGGCAGAAAACATTTCTGTAATCTCTGACACCTAGAAATGCTACTATTTCCAAGGGCAAAACACCCACCCATCTTTGGAACTATGAAGTACTTTCAAACAAACCACAACTTAGTAAATTCTTATATGCAACAAGCTAGTCATATACATGAATGCCCAACCCCAACTAAACTCAGAGATCCAAAAACCCACTGGCCTCAGTTTTACTGATTTTCAGATTTGGATCAGAATATTACAGGTGGTTCCTCATCTCCGTAATTCCTTAGCTGGAAAGTCCAGATCAAAAGTATTCAGGCTCTGAATCCAGATTTAGGTTTTTTTAAAGTTCAAGTACATTTCCAGGGTGAGGGAACTGGGGTTTAGACCATCTAATTATATATCTAGGAATAAACACCAGAGAGGATCTTTCTATATATATAGCATTGATACCAACCTTTTCAAAGATTCTGTAGTTCCTTACTTTCTCTGTAGACTCATCCCATACAACCAATACCTTTAGAAAGAATGATATATGTTATATTTAATATATTCAGCAAAGAAAACATTATCTTACTGTTCCATTTATTAGTAAGTTGGAGAAAATCAGTTATATTTCCTCAACTGGCCGAGTATCTTAGATCCTCAGAGTTCTGCAAGCTGGTTAGAACAGCTGCTGCTTATATATTTACTTTGCTAAAACCTTTAGCCATCTTCCACTTTGATAGCAATAATTCATCAATTGAAACTTCATTAACCTAAAGATTCTACTACAAGTTACCTTTCCAGGCTTGGTAGATGAATTCCGAATACAATATAATCCATTTTGGGGCTGTCCTCTTGGACTGGTAGTTTTGAACATCCTAAAATAATAGGGTAACTATCAATATCCATTCTGTTTCAAATATCTTACAAATATTTTCTAAGTGGACATGTAATAGAACCTCACTATTCTAACAAGTTCCCTTAGAATTCTTGAACAGTTAACATATTGGGATGTAGTAGTATTATAGAGACTTTATTCAGAAAGCTGAAAAACGAGAAAATCTCTGCGCTCTCTCTGGTTTGCTGTATAGCCTTGAAAACATTAAAAATTCTGTCTCCATTTCCCAGTCTGTATCTCCCAACCTGTCATGGGTGCTGTAAGGAACATTCACAAATATCTGACCATAATTTAGGACTTAAAGACTGAATTCAGTAGTCATATAGGTGCTGACTGGTAGAAAATTGTAGGTTTTTGTTACAAAACATTGAAGCAAGTTATCTGTAAGTCAAATCACCTATTATTCCTCTCCCATTTGTCATTAAAACTGCAAGCTTCTCCAAACACAGAACACTGCCCCACAAGAGAGATTCAAAGTCAGCAAGTGGATACTACTGAAAATAAATCACAAGTGCAGTTTCTTAAAAATGTTCCCATCAGCAACCTACAGGTTGGACTTTGCAGAACCAAGACAATATAATTCACCTTTTACTCACTAGCAGCAGTCTCTCCAAAGATCACCCACAGAATTAGGGTGATGTCTATTGTTTGGATCTCTGTCTGTTGGGGTCTAACACCATCAAAATCATGTGAGATGGTCATTTGGCAATGGCAAGTGGGGAGCTGTGGTTCAAACAGTGACCTAAAGATTAAAAAGCTCTCTAGCTTTCTACTAGATCTCTACCATGTCTAGCAGCCTGGAAAGGCACCTCCGATAGCCCAATTATTCTACATAGGTCACATTTGTTATTAAATAGTTTATATAGCTAATTATGTATTACTTTGTTGAAGGTAACAGTTTTCAGTTTAAAAGAACTGCTGTATTATCTATAACTAGTGAAAAGTGACTTTTAGTAGAAATCTCAACTTTATTTGCTCATCTTTTCTCTCACTAAATGAACTCCCTGGACTGTAGGTTCTGCTTATTGAGCATTAGTAACATTTTTAAACAAACAGTTAAATTTACCTTTCAACATCAGTAGATTCAGAAGTATTAACAAATATTGAATTAGGCAGCTCAACCTGTTAAGAAAAAAATGGGGTAAAAAATAAAAAGCATAAGTGTGTGTAAAGAAAGAAAAACTGAAATTATCTACATTTCTTAAAAACCCCAAAAGACTGGAGTATCTGCATCTGCAGGGTTTTGGTTTTTTTTTTTTTCCATTTTGCCATATTCCAGCTAGAGTTCTCAAACTCACACCAACATTTTACAAGTACAAGTAGGCAACAGCCACTGTCAACTAGATTTGTTACTGCATCTTTAAAGGGAGGGGAAAGGAAGCCACAAAGTGAGGTGAAAAACACTTCTGCAACATCTCTTAGGCTGTCAGAGAGGGTTACAGTGTGATTTTAGTGATATAAGTTCTGTTATCCACAACCCAGAATCCTACACATGTAGAAATTATAAGATGTAATATAATAGGTGATGGGATGTTTTATCATATCAGGTGAAAGCATGACAATTGAGAAAGAGAAAGATGCTTTGAGAAAGAGAAAGAAACCCTGCCCACTTTCCCCCATCAAATGTTGTTGAAGTTGGCTTGATGAAGTGCAATGAACCACGGATGTGCCAATGCAGGAGAAAAGGTGGAGGACATGGCAAGGAGACTGGCAGGCGGTGAAGACTGCACAGGCTAGATCTGTCCAGTTTCTAGAACTCAGAAGATGATGATGTATAAAGAAATCTACTTGAATAAAATGGAGCAAGAGAAAGGGGCTCTTTGCTAGTGAGAGTCAAACTGTTGGAGCCAGCCAGCCAGCATGGAATAGCTAGAGTAGGTGTAAGATTGCATTGCATCTCTCAAATCCAGCTGCTGCAGAAACAGTACACTTAAGCAAAGCCATCCACTTTTTTATCAGAGACCTGGCTCAAGGCTAAATATACAACTCCACAAACAGAAGAAAGTGTTCTCTTTGGCAATGTACCATCTACTTGAACTTACTTTTTCATAGTCTTCATCAGAATCTTCTTCAGAGTGGTTTTGCTTTGAGGTTATAGCTGGTTTTTCAAATGAGAAGCTACGGAAACTTTGTCCATCTGGTGGTGATCTCCTAGTAGAAACAGACCAAAAACTGAAGGATATTTCTATAGGAAAGTCATAAAGAGGGCAACAGAAATAGATCCCAAATACTAGTTTCAGTAGCATCCTATTTGTCCTTTAACAAATCTTGATTATTCGCTCTTCAAGGCTGTTGAGCAACATGATGGACGCAGAGACTTTCATCTCCCCAAGCACCCTTGTGCGTCTTACAAAGAAGGTCCTTGTGTTGAAGTATACATTCCATGACTCAGAGAGCCTGAAGCTTACCTTCAATTTTTAAATGAAACCTAAGGCTCTATTGTGTCTTTAAAGACAGCCCAAACAGATGCACACAATTTTATTTTAGGTGGCCTAGTTCTTATTCTTAAAACATTTCCAATAACCATAGTTTCTTGCAAAGTTTTAAAATATTGGACAGTTCACACTATAAGCAAAATTACTAATTCTAAACAGATACGTTCATCCCCTGAAGACATTAGAGAAATATTGTAAAACTGCCAGCCATGTTATTTAGTGAAGTAATGTTTAAGTCACGATCCATGTCTACACAAAAGTGATTTTTATCTGCTTCACATGCACACTCCCAGATTAACTTAAATTGAGAAACTAAGAGTTGGCTTAGTTGCTATGCTTAACACAGCAAAAAAATGTAACTTAAGTAACATCGCAGAACTGGAAGGAGAGCAGAAATAACTGATGACTTGGATGCTATGAACCAGTTGTCAGACATTATTTAGGATTATAGGAAAGTAGGGCTGGAAGGACTTCAAGGGGTAATCTAGTTCAGCCCCCTGCTCAGGGCAGGATCATCTTTGACTAAAACATCCTAGTCAAACATCTGTCTAATTCAAAGGCACCCAACGTTTCAGCCCTATGGACCAGTTAAGTGGCATGGGGTCAGTCTGCAGGCCAGATCCCACAGAGTGTTGGCATGTGGGGTCAGTCCACAGCTGTGATCCCACACACCCGGATCCAGCTGCAGAGCAACCCTGCATGCTAACATGATGTAGCATGCAGGAACACATTATTTGGCCTAAAAGACTCCCTGTAGGTTCAGAAATTTGGCAGCAAGGTAGCAGCAATTAATGCTGCCACTGCTCTCCCATTGCCAAATTTCTGGACCTGTGGGATGGATCTGGCCTGCAGGCTGGCGGCTAAGCACCACTCAATACTCTAACCTTCTCTTGAAAATTTCCAGGGATGGAGATTCCACAATGTCTCTAGGGAGCCTGGCCAATGCTTAATCAGTCTCTCAGTCAGAAAGTTCCTTCTAATCGCTAATCTACATTTCTTCTGCTGCAGCTTGGAAGCCTTTGCTCCTAGTCCTGTCCCCTACAGCCACAAAGATAAAGAGTTCAGAGAGAGACTTTTGAAATCACCCTTCAGGTATTTAAAGACTATTTTCTAATCTCTCCCTCAGTCTTCTAGCTCTTTCAACCTTTCCTCATAAGGCAAGTGTCCCAGGCCTCTAATCATTTTTGTCACTTTTTCTAATTTGCCCATATCTTTCTTCAAATACAGGGCCCAAAACTGGACACAGTACTCCTGGTAAGGTAAACATGCAGTAGGAAACTGGGCAATACTTACTGTAACTGAGGAAGCACAGCCTTCTCTGGTTTAGGTTTGATTCCAGGTATGGGTGGCGGATGGCCGGGCACAGGCAGCTGGTGGCCAAATAGGGATGGAGGGTGGCCAGGCAGAGGTGGCGGATGGCTGGGTAAAGGCGGCTTAGGCAGCACTTGTGGCACAAACAGTCCAGGCTTGCCAAGTTCTTTGGGCACTTTGATCTCAATTGGCTTCTCAGACAAATGCGCTATTTTGGGTTTGTTGCCTGGTAATGGAGGTGGGGTCAATTGGGAAAGGCTTAAACTTTTGAGTTTCTCACATCCTTCTGGAGTGGCAAAAACATGGCCAATAGGCAGAGGTTCTGGTGATGGTGAACAGCTGTCTTTGTTGAAGGCACCCTTTTTGAAATGAGGTATGGGGGGAAGAGGTGGCGGCGCATCGCTCATCCTCCTGTTTGATGGCTGCATCTTGAGATTAGGCTCAGCTCTGCAGTGCAGCTGGGATTCCCTCATGTGCAAGAAGTCCTCAGATTTTATATCGGGCAAGCTTCTTTTAGGTGGAGGAGGAGGAGGAAGTTGGGGCCCAGTGGATTTGCCAGGAAAAGAGCGTGCCCTCGATTCTGTGTAAGCAGCTTTTCTGATGTGAGGAACTGGTGGTGGTGGGTAGGCTGGTGGGAGGACCATGTTATCTGGTGAAGAAAAGCCCCACAACATAGAAAATTAAACTGAATAAATCAATGAGATTTCCCCCCACTCAGTTAAGTAGAAATTTCCTGTAAGGTATTTCTAGGGCATAAATCTTCATCTGGTATGTCACTGCTACCAACTCTGAACTGTCATACCCAATTCTGGACTTTATCAGTGCTGAATCTTACAGTTTTTACTCAGACAAATCACATTTAATGGTACCAAGAGCTCTGCCATTGTTAAAACAGAAGGAATGGACTCTATGTAAAAGCCAGGACTATGGTTAAAGGAATCCATTCTTTTGAGAGATCTACAGAGAAACAGACTTTGCACCTTGTCGACCATGACGAACACCACACTTCTTTGAGGATCTAAAGCATCCTCCATTGCTACTAATTTCAATAGGAAATTAACTATCAATTATAAATTAACGCATTATGACACCTGTACTTCTTACTTGTTCATTACTTTATTTGCCTACAGGGCTCTTTGTACCATCAAGTTGAAATACCCGTCTATAGATATTTTTCTCACGGATGACACCTTTATTCAAGATCTTTGAATATCACTTACCATCTGGTTTCAACAAGTCTGAAGTATCTGGTTGCAAGTAAGATTCTTCATCCTCTTCCTGGTCATAGTCTGCAAGTAAAAATAAATGTGTTAAATACTAAGCAGCAGTCATGGGGACTAAGTCACAGCAACATGCATTTGGTGCTTTCTGTTAAAAAAGGAAATAATTTTTCACTATGAACCTGGGTTAGGAAGGCAGAAGCTCACTCTCTCTCCTTAATATAGCTAGCTCACAGAAGTACCACACATCCCTTCCAGTCCCTTGAACGAAAGAAAGCAAAAAAGAATAAAATGCTGAAACTGGTGTTAAAATGAATCCCAAGGATCCTGGTAATGTTGGATTGGAAGCGTTGTTATCCAACACGTTTTTTGGCCAGGTAATCAGCCACTGACATGTGTAAGGTATCCCAGGAAGCCCACAGGATTTCAGTAGGTCTACCTTTTTAACGTGAACCACCTACAGCAAGGGCAGCCATAGACCTTGGGGGAAAAGTGAACTCTTGGGGACTCCACAGAGGGCAGGGAAGTTGCAAAAGTCTCCATGTGTCATTTTTGAGTCCAAGTCCCACTGAATTCCACACACAGGCACTATTAAAAACATTTCCCTCTTTACTGTAGCTGGTCTATAGGCCCCTAAGAATAACTTGTTCCTTTCCTAGCTGTGAGAAGATAAAATAACAATGTAATGACTTTTGGTGTTAAGACTTTCAGAACACACATTTAAGCAATTAAAGCTTTATGTAGGCACCATGAAAATAAAGGGAACTTGATATCATAGTCAAATGTAATAGAGATCATTAGCATTCTTGTGCCACAAAGGGAGACAAGCCTCAAATGTTTGTGTCACCCAACCTTTTGCCAGATTGATTGACCAGGCATAAAACAAATGACTAAGTATGAGCCTAATACTAAAGTATGTAGTACATTTCTGAGCTTCTTCAGCTGCTGCCACTTTCACTAAGGGTTTACAGTGCTGGCCTCATATGCATTCCCTAGTCTACATTTACTGGAGCCAACCACACATCATGATAGCAGGCATTAGTACATTACTGCTGCAAACACAGCCAAATGATTCTTATGCTATGTGAGCTATCTGCTACAAATCTAGAGTGCCACGGGAAGAGGGAGCAATCAAAAAGTTTCACTTATTGACAGGGGAAGGGATAGAGGAGGGGCACTTATCCAAGATTAAATCCTCACCTTCATTTTCTGTGGAATGATGAGAGTATTTGATATCAACAGGACGTTCAACTGAGCCATAGAAACTGTCTGCATCAGAACCAGAATCACTATAAAATGAAAAGCGAATAAGTATCAGCTGAGCATGCACCATTGCCTGATAGGTATTCATTCTACAATGAGAGATCCAGGTTAGTAGCACTTAAGCAATTGCCGGGGTAGACCCCGGAAAGGAGCCAAGAAAAAATAACCATATTCATTTTCCAATTAAGAGTCAAATAAATTGTTTTACACTTAAAAATTCTTGTGAAATTGATATTTTAAATACTCTTCACAAAGGATTATTTTATTTTTTGTGTGGTGTCCTGAGTCAGCTGTTGCTGGCAATCACTACACCTGTTATTATTTGCTGCTAAACAATGATTTTTATTTTACCAGCTGCAAAACCCCCCCCAGAAAGCAACCTTATCAAGGGCAAACGTAAGAATGAGCAAAGTAATGGTATGATTAAACAGATGCATACCTGAACTCTACTATTGTTTCCTTCTTCTCATGATAATGATCTATTTCCCTCCTCAGTGAGAGCATCCAGCTCTGAAAAAGTAACAAACACAAAAATCAGCTGCCTTCTGCAAGGTTAGAGGTGCCAGCATACCAGTATTTACCTGCCTGCCTCAAGGGGATGCTGTGAAGTTTTACAGTTAATGTGCTTTGAACAAAGGTCTATAATACAGTCTAAAAATACCTCTAATTACTGAACTTAATGTAACATCCTCTCAAATACCCATTTAAAGCTAGGTCACTTATGTTATACATGGGACAGAAATTCCATACAGTGATGCTATTATTTATGAAAGTTTTTACAGAATTTATATCTTGATCACCCCTAAAGACATCCAGCACATCCAGAACACTGGTTCTAGCTATTCCCTGAATTGGGTGCCAATACCTGGATGAGCACAATAATGAGAATGGGCTTCTCTGGAAATCATGGCCCTCAAGAGCCAAGCACCCACACTTCATTGATGTTGGAGTATCTCATTCTCTTCAGATCCTTTGAAAATTGCAGATTAATTCCCCCATTCCTTATCTCCTCCAACAGAAATTTACCTTTCTTTCATCTTCAGAGGAGGCAGAAAAGAACCAGGTTCTGTGCTTCTTGCTAATGTGAACCAACTTGAAAGGGAACACATTGCTTGATGTTGTCTCCTCAGCTGCCCGCATAACCCTGGGCACCAGAAAGCAGGGTAAAAAGCTAAGTCAATGCAGTTTGCTTTGTTAGGCAGGTAAAAAGATGCTTACAGTTCAAATGGCCCTTTGGGCAAGTTTGCCCAAAGTAAAAATAAGTCAAATACACAGGAACGTTTATACCAGGAAAACAGAGGAACAGGTAGAGCCAACAGAGAGGCCTTTCACTAACCAAATCACAGAAAGCATGGACACGTCAGTTTGTAAACATGTTGCCTTAAACATGTTTATTATAGCATTTTACCAAAGTAAGTTATTGCTTCAACTTCATAGCATGAAGGTATCTGTGCAGCCATGCTCCTCATTTCAGGAGTCCACAATAATAGACAACATGGGACAATCCCAACGGCTTTTCCATGAACAAAAAGGGACAACCAAAGTTAACATCACCCTTCGTTTTGCTTCTTCACTTATTTCAGTGGGCAACCATGCTTTTAAAGCAATGCACCTACTGCAGCTTAATGCATATAATCCAGTCTTTCAGCAACCGGGTTAAATTCAGTTTCTGTCCTTCCTCTCCCTTCCAGGTATGTCCTCACTCTCAAGTGAGAGAGACCCCCTAAGGAAATTATTTACAGATTTACAATACAGGAGTTTGGGAGTTAAAAAAGAACAGACTGGAGCTTTAAGTGGTAACACTTTTTTTCAGAGTATCCCAAGTTGTTTATTCAGCATAAGCCACAGGGAACTTTGATTAGGGTTTCCCCCTCTCCCTTTTTAAATGCCAGTTTCCTTCTCCAGGAACGACCCACGTGGTAGAAACCTTTAGACACAGTGGATTTTGAACCTTGGAGACAGACTGCCAGAAGTGCCTGGCTCTCCATGCAGGCACCTAACCAAGCTGAACATTTCGGAAGCTCCGCCAACAAATAGCTGCTGCTGAGGGGACTGCGGGATACCGAAAGTCTAGGCATAGATCTTTCTCAAGTCCCCATCTGAATTCTGATCTCTAGGCTATACTTTGATGAGAGTCTGCATATCGCCAATTCGAGTGGCAAAAGCAGGATGTCATCGTCTCATTTCACGGCATAAGGAAGTTGATGTAGGAAATACCCAAGATTTGTCAGCACTGGTGTTAACAATTAGTAATTTAGCAGACAGTCACTACTAAACCCAATGCCCCTTGTACTCTTATACCTCTTATGCCTGAGGAGACCAAAGATCCACTAAAGGGCCTAGGTCCTGTTTTCGGTCATCAGCATTGAAATGACAGTTGTGCACACATTTTCTTAGGTTCTAAACTCTTGTGCAGCCCTAGCCACAACATGACACTAATTCTCCATTAGGGCTTTTGTGGATCACCATAATACAGATGTATAAATCAATAAGACAACCCCTAGGGCTTGCAGATGCAATAAACAAGGGTATTAAATCACTTCCAAATTTCAATTTAGGTAACTTAATTCTGCTTATATAAATTCTCCCTCTCAAGGGAGCAGGGAAGAGATTTTCCTACTTCTGCCCTTCAAGTCATCTACAAACGCTATGCTCTGTTGAGCTGCCACATTACTTTGGGCAAAACCATCTCCATAGGTAAATCTATTAGGAAAGCAGTGCATTTCAGATTCTGTATCTAGGAGATCTTTCGTTGGTAGCTACTAGAGCACTATTTTTCTAAATCAACCAATTTATCTAAAAAGTTGTAAACATGTGTTATGCAATGCGTTCACAGCAATTAAAATCTAACAGTACTGGATAACTTGAAAAAAACTAGTGCTAATAAAAGATTTATTGTCACCAATTTAAAAAGCAAACATTTAAACTGATTTGTTTAGTGCCCTATTGAAAGTGAAAAAACCCCACAGGATCCAGCACTATTGCTACAAACCTTTATGGCGACTATGCAATTGTAAAAGCACGTGACAAAATCATTTATTCAGATAGCATACTGTTAACAATTTCCAGCTTTCAAAAAACACTTGGATGCCTATCTTGCTGGGATCATTTGATCCCTGCCGACTTCCTGCCCGTTGGGCAGGGGGCTGGACCCAATAATCTTGCGAGGTCCCTTCCATCCCTAATATCTATGAAATCTATGAAAGACAACCCCAAAATTCCTTTGCAAACTGCTTTATCACCTCCAGAGTCCTATCCAAGGTAAGAGAAGTGACTAAATAGCAGGATCTTTAGTGAAATGCAACTGACTGTTTAATATCCCTGAAGTAAGGCATAATTGAGAAACTCTGCACATCCATATTTAGTTTTCTCCAAGTCAAAGTTGACTTAATTGGAAGTAAAAACTTTGGTTCCATTGCTAAATGAAAGGAATCTGTGTCAAGCAAGCATTGCTACTCACCTGTTGTACCCATTTAGAGAGAAAGCACCCTGTGGAGATGCAGATGTGCTGCTCTTAAAGTAGTAAATACATCCCTCATGGATAATCACAAACCTCAGTGGCCCTTACAAGAGAAAGGAAAGAGAGGAAAGGTCAACTAGTTACTAAGCACTTTAACAACAAATCTGGTCAGAACCTCTTAACTCAAGATGTTAAAAATGACTTCAACTAGCCGAGTGATAGCTGACTAACAACAAACCATACGGCATCACAGTCATTTTGTATGTCTACAGAACGCTGTGCAATGTCAGGCCTCTTAAATGAAGAGAGCACTCTTTTGAGAAAAGCAAGAGGCAATATAGAGGATGCAAGACTTTGCTAGTGAGGAAAGCACCAGTAGGAGACTGCAACACAAAAACACATCTGAAGTAGAAAGAGAGATGTCAACACCACCAGCTTTTCCTTGGAAAAAATCCACACCTCTAGACAGTGCCTAAATTACAAGATGTTGACACCGACTCCAAAATCAAAATACACTTCCTGCTCTAACTGAAGCATTTTCAGAACTGGCAATAAAACTCATCCATTTAATAGTTTAAAGAACAAATTTGAGCATTCCTCCCCTCCTTGTCTGAAAGAATGTCATTCTTTTTGTTGCAATCAAATTATGTTTCTATGGGAAACATGAAGTGAAAATAATGTAAATAAAACTCTCAGCCATTAATTTCTTCATTTAAAGCTTTGTTCCAAAAGCAATTCCTGTTATTAACCATACCCTATTCTTTAGGATGAGAATTTCCATGTTACAGACAGTGGTAAGAGGCCTGGGGTTGGGGAAAGGTATAGCTTCAGTATAGAACAACAGATTTGATGCATTCCAATCTAAACAGGTAGATAGTTATGGCTCCCTTCTGAAAAGGGAGGCGCAAAAGGTTGACATAAGTGGGGAGAGAACATAGATACATTTTTTGCAATGTTATTTTTGGAAGTCTTAACAAAAGAACCGAACTAGTGGAAAGAAAAGTGTGCCCACTGCTCCCACCGTGAGGTTTAATCTTTTGACGCAACCCTCTCCCCCACAAAAATTGATGCATTGGGAATGGATTAATTAATTCATTAATATTATTTCAGTAAAATGAAGTCCACTACAGACAAACCAAGTGAAAAAGGGGCTTTATTATTGACTCATTTAACACTAAATGCCTAATATATATCACAGCCCACAAGCACAACCAACAAGTTTTAGCCCCATTAATATCTACTCCAAACTTACATTTCATAATTGGCAGCTGCGTGCCTCCTTTCTTGTGTAGGTATCCAGACTTGGAAACCCCTCCGGGCATTGTCAGTAGGTTCTGGGCTCCAATCGCCTTCATTGGGACTGGCCAACACTGTTCTTCTGAGGCCATTATTCTGCAGTTTAGAAAGAAAAGAAATAGTTTGTTCTGTGTAGCTTGCTTTAAGGAAGCAGTCTGCAAAACATGTTTAAGGAAATAACTAATATGATCTACCAGCCAAGTGCCATAAATAAGTACCCATCTCACAGATTCCAGGAAGCTTGAAGTGTATTAAAACAAATAATGCAAAAAGTCCCAGTTTATTTTTCTCCGTGTCATATAAGTGACAGCCAGTTACCAGAAATTAAAGAGACTAACTTAATATTATATCAACAGGCATCATAAAAATATATACATAACCCTTCCCCAACCGTATATTTTTATAAAATTTACCACCAAATCAACTACATAAAATGACAACAGCATGCCACCTTAATGGCATGATTCTTTGCACTAAAGGGTTAAAATGCCCCCTATAGAGAAAATGACATTGGGCCTGAAGTGTGTGTCCCTCCTTTCCCACTTATCAGTCAGTTGTGCCGTTATAGTTATAAATAGGAGTGTGCATTATGTAGCACTGTTTTCAGTGGAGCAAGCACCATGGTAAGGATATGCTCAAACGTGGGTGCATTCCCTTTTGATACATACACATTAACGATTGATGCCAAGCAGCACCAGGTACCTTAGCAATTATCGCTATTTCTACTCTCTCATTTAATGCATTTTACAAGCTACACTGAATATTAGGATCTTAAGGACTAATTTTATCAGTCTGGTATGTTACAAAGAGACCCTTCTTTCTTCAAATACAAATAAAAGGCATTATAACGGGTTTGGTTAAAGCCTGTAATTATGCTGTTCAAAGAAAATTCCTCCACGAACTGAAGAAAAACTCTGACCTTCACATACAATGCTCCATTATGCTCAGGTCACTACTGAGGACCTCTGCTGGTGAGAGCAGGACTAACATTCCTCAATACTGAAGTCTAGAGACAGGAACAACATTGCTCTAGAACAGGAGTGGGCAATTATTTGGGCCCAAGGGACATGTAGGGAGTTTTGATGAGCTGGTGAGGCGAGCCAACACTCCCTTCCCCACTGCGCAACAACTCACCAAGACACCCTATGGGGCTTTGGGTGGGCGAGGAGCAGTGTTCGGGAGTGGGCCAGGCATGATCAGCTGCCTGCACGCCCTGCTGGGGGGGAGGTGAAGAGGGCGAGTGCATGTGTGTTGGGGGGGAGCCTGCCTGGGAGCCAGCTGAGGGTGAGGAGAAGAAGATGCAGCAGAGCTCGCCTGCTCAGCAGCTGACCCCGCAGCACTCTACATGGGGCTGAGCCCCATCGGGGGGAAACCTGTGCCGTGCTCCTGCCCACACCTGCTGGCCCCGGCCACTGTGCAGCTTCTGGTGGGGCTGTTCCCAGTGCAGCTGCAGGAAGCCAAGCTCACATTGTCACTGGGAGGCAATGGAAGCAGAGCAGCACTCAGCCAGCTGCAGCCACACTGGGAACAGCTCCAGAGGCCTGGTGCGTAGGCTGGGGTTGTCCTGCTCTCCTTGCCTCCAGCTCCAGCTCCAGCTGATGCTCCAGTCCCTGCTGTGTCGTGCTGTTCCAGGTGGGAAACAGCAGCTGGGTGGCTCTTGCTCAGTGCAAGGAGCTCTGGCTCCAGCTCCCGGCTGCCCCCCCTGCTCTGCCTGGCCACAGGTGGCCACTCATTGCACTGCCCAGGTGCAGCAGCAGGGAGGTGGCTGGGATCTGGAGCCAGAGCTCCACATGCTGGGTAGGAGCTACCCGGCTGAAGCTTCCCGCCTGCCCGCAGCGGTGCAGCACAGCAGTGATGGGGCAGGGGGCGAGGGGAGCAGAACAGCCTGCTGGCCTGGGAACCAGCCAGTGCATGCAGCTTCTGGTGGAGCTGTTCCTAGCGTGGCTTCAGTCAGTCAGGAGCTTCTCTGTTCCCCTTGCCTCCAGCAGCAGCTCCTCCTTCTGCTCCTGGACCTGTGCTCCAGGCAGGCTGAGGGAAGAGGGGGCAGCAATGCTTCAGCTGGGCGGCTCCCACTAGAAGCGAGAGGAGCGGAGCAGCATCCAGCCAGCTGCGGTCACACTCGCAACCGTCCCACCAGAAGCTGTGCGCTGGCTGGATCCAGAGCACCACCGGGGCAGCTGTGAGCCAGATCCAGGCTGTGGGCTTTATTTTGCTGACCCCTGCTCTAGAAGCCGAGAAAAGGAACCAAAATGTATATTCTCACATTTGCCACCTCCTTCCCGCCCAAAATACCAATATAGGTAGTTTATAAATACTGGAGTCTGAGAACCTGCTACACACAAGGCACCCATGTCGTTTCCCTAAGACATTTGGTTCCTCCAACCTAGGGTGACTCACAGCTTCCATTATGAAAAGAGCAAGTAGCAGAGTTTCTCAGTGACTCATTGCTGTAGTACAGTACATATTCACAGGAGATACAACAGGAAAACAGAGAAGCAAGTTCCTTTCCATACTGGTTTTCTGATCAAACCAAGCCATTAAACATTCTTTCCATGCCTGTTACATAAAATCCTAATTGCTCTGAAGCAAAGGAAATCTAGTCTTTTAAGACAGTGGAGGTGATATTAAAGCAAGAGGTGGTGCATCTCACAGTACCCTATTGAATTCCTTGTCAGAAAAGGACAGTAGAGAATTGCACCATGTGCTTTCTACCCCTAGTTTACCGGTTAGAATCCACTCTAACCAGTATAGCACCCCCAAGTCCCCCGCCTACATTTCAGGTATTTATGAGAAGTCGCACAACCTGAGGCTCTCCTTTGTTTCACTCGCCAGGCCTCTCTTGCCCTCCTGTGCTCCATGACACCTCTCTCTCCCTGGTCTCACCACTTCTACCCCCTCACATCAAATGTTCCCCAGTCACCTCAGCTGGGATCTCCCAGAGACTCTTCTTGAAAGAGTTTATAGTCCACATTGTTCTCCTTTCCCTTTGAATCTCTACTTGCCTCTTCTACTGAGGTTGTCACTTCCACATCCTACTTCCCCTGAGGCAGTGACAAATCAACTTATGAATTAAAAACTAGAGCAGTCTCTAAAATTGAAGAGGAATACATGGATGTTTAAGGGAGAACACTACACAAGTGTTTTGGGTCACAAATGTCAAGATAAGCAGGTGCCTTAAGAATGAGCTAAGTTGCTTTCCAAAGCACTCATTAAATTTATCCATTAATGATAAGTTAGTAAAATTTTACTCTTTCATGACTGATTTAAATTTCCTTCTGATGAAGAGAATGCTGCATTTATGCATATTTGTTTCAGTTGTCTAGTGTTACTTGCCTACAGAGGCTAGACAAATCAAGCTGAATTTTAGGCCTATTTTTTTTTTTGTTAGGAAGGGAAGATAAAATAGGGGAAGTGGGTACAATATTTAAGACTCAAACCAAATACAACAAAAAAGGCTAACCCATTCGGATTCTGTAACCTGCGCTAAGTTCCACCAGTCCAGAGAGTGGTTCCCCTGGTGCTTCCCATTCACTGAAATAGTTCTTTGGCACATAACTGTATCCTCTCCTACTCCAGCTATAACCAGACCCTCCCCTCTCACCCAACTGATCTGGATCGTTCACGAGCAAATTTGGCCACCTCACTCATACAGGAAACTCTAATAAAAACAACGTATAACCAGGACACAGATACAAACACTTTAAATTGTACTAAGTTACTTAAGTTATTCTTGCAAATCAAAACTAAGTTATATGGCTTTGCTTTCCATACTACAGAAGCTAAAAGATGGATCTGCAGGAAATAGCGCACGCTATTCAGTTGGCAGCAGACTTCTGTGATGACACTGCAAATATGTCAACATTCTGGGAGTTAGTTCTTTTAAAATGAATGACAGTGAAAGGAATTAGTGGACAAAACTTTTCTTTAAAAAAGCTAAAAATCCACACATTTTCTTATTCACAATCAAACAGATTAAAATGTCTTGACATCTGCTTAGGTTAGAAAAGGGAATACTACAATCTGAGTTATACAAGCGTAATTCGGGAGTAAACCCACAGACTTCAGTCAAGTCTCGTGAGTACAACTGATCAAACTTCACATACATCTCCAGGTCAGCTGCCTGAGAATTTTTTTTTCTATTACTATTCCTAATACGGCAGATCCAACATGAAGACAGCACATTAGATCCTCACATTTCATAGACACTATCAAAAAAGTTCTGAAAGCAGGGTCTTTATCATTGCCAACACCACAGATGAGAACAGCAGCTTGACTTCCAAATACCAGCTAAAATCAGCAGTGAAAGCAGCAGGCAGTCTCTGTAAAAACTGAAAGTGTAAGTGCACTTGCTTTAGGATCACTGAAAACAGACAGGTCTCCTCCACCTTGTGGATTTTAGATACTGTCGCACTTCCAAGAAATGCTTGAGTCTACACACCAAGGCAAAAGACTGTGACCACATTCTGATCTTACTCTCCCTCCAATAAAGCCAACACAACTATTCCAGCTGTACAAGGCTAGGGACAGAAATTACACATAGGCCAGTATAACCACTTGGAAACCAATTCAAATCTGTAACGCAACAGAAGTTCAGTGCACATACAGTGCTTTCAAAATGACTGAAATCAGTTTAAGATAAACTTGGATGGATGTAAGCAGATTTAACTGATTTAGGTTGAATCAGCTTACTGACCTTCTGTCTCAGATCCCCTCCAGATTCAAGTTAACTCACAGCCTCCAGCAACCAAGGATGCTTTGCAGCTCTGCAACCCCCCCTTGCAGGCTAGTCTTGGTCCATGCTGTTTGCTCCAGCTGATCAGGGAGGTGTGCTCTAGTGCTCCTCAGCTTCTGGCCTGGGCCACTGCAGGCACGTGGCTGCATTTCCCGAATCAGAAGTGAATGTCTGTTCACTTGCTTATCAATGCCTCAATTCAATCTACGCATTTTAGACTAATCTGCGAAAACTGAATCAATTCAGCCTCAGAGACTTTTTGACCATCTGTACTTTCAACTGAACCAGGACTAGAACATGACCACTTGCAGAGGCTACTTTACTACAAGATACAACAAGAATTTCCTTCAGCTCACCATACTAATTTCTCACAGAAACAACAAGCTTCTTCCCCTAGGCTTGAAATAAAAGAATATTTTTTATAACTTAAATCTAGTTGCTCTCACCAAGCACAAAAAACTATCCACAACAGGAAGTGGCAACTAAAGATATTCATCCTGACAATACAGGATGAGAGCTTCCAAACACACCTGAGACCTTGTTCCTTGCTTCCTTCTTCCAATGAAGTCCCTGTGACAATGCCATGTAAAACAAGAAGATTATGCTGAGCCCTGTTAGTATAGTGGGAAGAAAGATCAGAACAGTATTTACAGGACTTTATTCAGCATTCAGAAGTTCACTTTAAAAGAGCATAGTGTGACCTCCAGGGCCTAGGCCAACTCTATCTATGGCAAAGGGCACGACACATTTGGAAAGCTCCTTCATTTGAAAGGCTAGAAATCAGAAAGTAAGCTTGCAACATTCTTCAAGAAATTAACCAAGCATTGGTGCATTGGGTAGGCCCCAGTCTATAGCACTGATCATTTGACCGTGACTGTAATCATAATGAGTTATTGTGGACAAGAGTATTGCGACAGTGTGTCTGCATCAAAAGCTTGTCAAAGCCATAACAGCAAACAGCTGAAGAAGGATAATGTCATTGACATCATGTTGGCCCCTTGGTTACTGAAGTTCAGCTCGACTAGGGCGAGATTTCTTCAATCATGTTATAACAGCCTTTAGTTACTGAACAAATATGCACAGGGTTGCAAATTTCTGTAGCTGGTATGGCGCTCAAATCAATGACCTAAATCTTATCTAGAAAACAAACCTCATTTTTATCCCTTCCTCAGTTAACCTCTAAAGTTCAAAGTATAGGCACACAGCAGCTGAATTCAATCAAGGGCAGGCAGATTTACACAGTGGGGAAAAAAAAAAAATCCAAAAGACAACACTGCCCTTGAATAAAATTTGGAACATATTGCAGAAAAACAAATGATCACTTCTGGCCTTAAAACTCTATTATGTTGCAAAGATATTTGCTCTAAATTAAAAACATATGTAAACTGATTAGCAGCTTAATGCCTTGCAGAATGACTTCTTAAGTGCCCCAGT